CATCCGAGCCAAATTCCTTCGTTATTCGCCTCTGTCGGCAGGTGAACATCTACTGGGTCAAGAAGTTCAAACCATAAACTAATATGTTCTCACAGCGATTGCCTCTCTTACCCAATCCTTCTTCAGATCGCCTTCCGATCTGTGCACTATTGGATTGCTGTGTATTGTGGCTGAGGCATAACCTGCACAAGCGGCTAGAGGTTTACTGCTATACGTGAGTCACTCGATGTATCATCCATCTTAGCTGCGATTGATGAAACCAGCAACAGCAACTGCATCTGGATATGCCAAAAAATTCATATGGTATTTAGCTGAAACTCGCACTCGTTTAAGTAAGCCTTTAGCTCTTGCAGAAAGCCAGCTGTAGCTTAATCTACCTTAAGAGTACGAGTGGAAGGAGCTCTGGTCGGCGATCTTGGGACTTCTTGGATTTCTGGCCACTAAATTAGACAGTTTATACACGACAGGAGGTGTAGAAAATCTAGTTCATGAAGTAGATATGTTCCTTTAAATTTATTGAAGCTTTGCTAACATTCCTCTTTGCTAGACGATTCTGTTACTCGATATTTGCGTAGGCAGAAAGTTCGGTGTTCTTGCCGTCACCTCAAGCGCTGCATGAGTTTATCGTGAGTCTGCCCGTATCTGCAGCCGGTGCATACTGAGCAACCATTGTAGTACGAGCTCGTACATGACTATCAAACACTGGAAAAACAAGTTAGTTTGCTTCAAGATTTAGCTATGCCAACGTCACCAAAACAGAAATCATGGGACGAGGATCCGTCCCGCATACTTGCCACAATCTTGGATACCACTCGCTTTTATGAAACGAAAGTTGCAGCAGCTGGAGCACGTTCGGCCACTCAGGCGATGGGTATTGTGGCGCGTGAAATCGATCAGGATGGTTTATACGGTGTGAAAGAATCTCAACGTATAGCTCCCCCGTAAGTAACCGTTCTCCGAATCTGGAATGTAATGAAACTCACGCCGCATTTAGAAAAGCGTTCTAACGAGGTTTTTGGATTTGCCAAATATGCGTGTATAGATAGCCTTGCCTTGATGCCATAATAATAATCGACCTTTTTTCGGGAAAACGATGTATTGTATTAGTGCCAAACGATAGGTAAAATATATACGTTCTTGGGTATGACTACCTTATCGAATGATCCACCGAGTGCACAATCTCTGTCATCCAGCAGTGATCATCTCTGTGATCCACTCCATAGAGTGTCTCGTCTTTTATTTGCACGGTTTCCAAAAGGGTCCGAACATCCCCAAAGGCTTTACGACCCTTCCTACTCGCTTCCTTGTCATCATCCACACTACCTTCAACCTGCATCCCACCATCCTCCTCCTCAATTTCCTCACTCACCCCCGGAAACCCAAAATGGTCCGCATCAACCTTCGGAGCTGATTCCACAGACTCGAAACTCGCTCGAAACAGTATCCGGATGCACAGCAAGGCAAGAAGAGATGTAGACGGAGGATCAACGACTGCACGCTGAAAGTTGATCACAGTACTCCGTGGTAGAGGCGGATTTCGACGTGTAGGATTTGGGTGGGGGTGTACCGAAGATTGTGAGACGGTGATCGTGTCACTTTGAGAAGGATGCTTTTCGGATATGTGAGCGGTCCAAAAGTGCGTTTGGACATGCGGGCGAAATTGGTCTTTCGGGATATTGTCTCTGGTGCAAGACGACCATTGACACGCAGCTTCATCCTGCGAATTGTTCAAATCAACATGCTGGAAAACATGCTCACATAGCTTCTACTGGTGTTGAAAACGGCGGAGCTGTACACTGAGACCGATTCCATTGGCATTTCAGTCTATCTGCCAAGAATGTGTCTTTCCGCCTATCAACCCCTCGGACGATGAACTTCATTGGAGGACCGGGTAGCACCATTGCTTGGGTAGGAGAAAGAACCATGGAGACATTTTTAATAACTTCAGGTGCGCCAAGAAGTGCGTACGAATCTTGGTAGGGTTGGAACGCATCCTTGTAGAGATTCCAGCAATCAACTTGAGTAATTTCAGCTTCGGGGTCAGTAACGAACATGGCCGCAATCCTTGAAAAACATATCAGGATAGTGGCCAAAAACGCTTTAAAAGGTACACGCACCAATCATAACATCGTTTAGGTTCCGGCGTTGCAACGAGACTATCCAATTCCGATTTTGTGAGTTCGTGGTTCTTCGAAACCAGCACGGAGGAAGGAACAGTATGATACACCCCCGTGATATCAACGGTGACTGTTTCCTGGACCTGCTCTACAAGAAGCAAGGTGATTAAGATGCGTAGTACGCTCGGCATTTCTGGATGTAGTAGGAATGCTTTTGACATGGCAGGGTAAGATAGATGAGCATGGAGGTAGTTTAAAGAAGTCTCGAGAAGAGGCTTGTCGGTGAAGAGAGGAAGATATCTGAGGCAGGTGGATAATGCTGGGGAATCAGGGGATAGCTGCGACGCGTTTTGTTGGTTATTGAAAAGAGCTGTCAATGCTTCGAGAGCAGCTATAATCATCGTTCTATTTGATGAATCAGAAGCGATACACTAGTAGCGGCTTAAGGGGGCTCGAAGCCAGCGGTGACGACTTTGGAGGCAAGATGAGAGTCGGCGCAACTGCATGGAAAATTTCCAGGATATAAGTCATAAATTCGCTATTTGCATCGATGGAAAAGTCTAATCTATGCAGTGCGTTTAACAAGAGGGGCAAGGTCCTTTTGGACGATACGATATCCAGGGCATTTTGATCATCGATTATAGAGGCGTTCCGAAGAACAAACAAGGATGATATGGCGTGTTGGCGTCGATGTAAAAGAGCAGTTGAAGGTGCGAATAGTGATTGTAGGTCTGTATGCTCTTTATACCCTGTCGTAGAGAACCACTCGGGCCATTCATAGAGCGCGTCCATAAGCCCGGGGTAAAACTCGCAGACGAAAGTCGTCGTTGCTGGATAACTTGACAAGACGATGAAGTGCCCAAGTAATCTCCGAATCAATACCTGAAAGAAGGGAGAGTCTCATTCGATTATTTGGAGTGGTCTCATTGTAGCTTCCTACACAAAAAAATTGACAATCTTCAATCGCAAAAGCCAATATCACTCACGTTCATAATCATCGGTATAGTTATGGACATTCTGGGGCGGATTTGGAGCGTACCTGTAGTACGGTATTGGAGCCGCTCGATTTCCATACATAGTCGCAAAGAAAAGGTAGGAAGACTCGAGTGTCACGGCACGTGCTCAGACGTGCTTTATATATTACTCATACGTTACATACGTTACACACAACTCTATCTTGGTTGTCTCCGATCTCTACCTTTACTATGTCCATCTATGTCTACTTATCCATTCTTCTGTCCCTCTGTCCCTCTGTCTGTCTTCCCTCGCGCAACCGCAGCGCGTATACGATTACATACAGTATACGGTACTTAATCATTCAACTCTGAGTCACAGTGTGAGCACTATGTACACTGGCAAGTGTAAGTAATGGATTCGTAACCCAGGAGGTGAGTGCGACGTTAGTTCTCTTAGTAGGCACAAAAAAATTAGTGCGGTGCATATGACGTTAAATTTCACGGAATATTCTGCGCGTTACTTTGATGGAGCGTACTTACTCCATTTACTATACATCCTACTCTGTCTACCTACTCTCCAGAGACATTGTAAAATACATCCCTACTCTAAAATTCTGCCTAAAGTCCTTTTTCAGAGGAAATCTCCGGAATGAGAAGTACTTATCCTGTCATTCCCGCCCGCCTCCAAGAGAGCATTTGTGAAATATATCACACCGCGCGTCGGCGCTCGCGCCGTATATACCATCTCCTAACTGATATTGTTTCAGTGAATGCCTGCCCAATGTTAGCGCATTTCCTGAAGGTGTGTTCATTGTGAAGAATTCATTGATCTCTTTTTTATCTCGCGAGCAATCGCGAGTCATGCAGTGAGGGACATTGACAGCCTGGAAGAGGAAATCATTCAATAATTCAAAATAAAAACAAATCCGTCCCATTGCTGCAAGTCGCTGAATACATGCCTTGATAATCCCACAAGAGTGTCGTTGATGGTAAGTACTATCATCACTGTAGGTATAATTCGTAGCAAAGAGAATCGAGTCACGCGAAGAGCGCCCTCCATTTCCGCCACCGAGTCCCGGCCGACGCCGGAAATCCTAAGCTCATTGTCGCGACAGTAACAGCAGAAGATAGGTTGCAAAACTAATTAGAAGACGAAATAAATTACAGGGGAAATAAAAATTTTAGAGCACTTCCTCGAAAACTGAGTAGGCTCACTGTTACTATCGTTACCCCAGAAGTGCAGAAAAAATGTCACTACAGAAAAAGTTCTGCTATTTCTGACGGATGGCTTCCGGATTTTGGGTGATCATATTTAGGATGTGAAAGTGTCTTCTCATCTGCTTTGGCGATTTTTAAGAGTTATTTAAAAGGATACCAGAAGGAGCCGAAGAAACCTTTCGAAATGGCGGGGAAGTGCAATGAGCGCTTAACGGCCATTTGGCCTGCACTTTTTCACCTCTTCCACTTGTGAAACAGCAACCACAGGTCGGGCACCTTATCGGGCTACCAATACTACCTATATATATGTAAAAAAGATACTGTTAAAATTTTATACTTGCCCGTGAAGTATTTGGGGCTCTAAAAATCGAGAACTTCATGTGAACCTGAAAAAAGTGTGATTTCGCACAAGTTCAAAATTCCTGAATTTTTTCCTCGTACTTTTTGCTCAAATTAAGGAGACAGATGTCTTTGAAACATGTAGAAGACCATACATTAAAAGTTTGAAGAGCAACCGTTAAGAACTGCAAGAGCTACAGCCCATATACTGTGATTTATGCACTTCTGGGCGCTTTTGCACTACTGGGGTAACGATAGTACTTCACAACCAACGGAGTACGTTTTGATGTAAGAGTAAGCCGAGAAAGTAGGAAATTGAGTAGGAGTGGAATTTTCCGTGAAAAATAACCTCATAGGTGCAAGAGCGTCATTCCTTCTAGCCGACTTGAACGACTGACCTCGTCATTATTATAAACCAATACTTCGCATAAATACTAGTGACGCGCTCTACCAACTGAGCTAAGAAGGAGATGAAATACAGTAGGATATTGTAGTCAAGTAAATTGGTACACGCACTGATACTGACACAGGGAACGCAACGATATTAAAGCGTCGCAGCATGGAAATGCTCCAAGTCGACGACATTGTCAGGCGTCGGATTTGAAGTCCGCGACGCGATTTTTTTTTGAGAAGGTGACTCGAAGGGAATAGTCTGAGAGTCACGACTCAAAATGCAATTCAAAACTTGACCAAAAATATTTTGAGACGTGCGGCTAATACGCCCTACTGTCTACTTACACTATGATATGTCTATCTATACGATACTACTAGTTGAATACATTGAATATAGATACAAATAATCTACGTTGAAGTAGGTTGAAGTTGAATTCAATTATAATCACTCCACCAGAAAAAAAAATCATCAGAAAAAATCATCTAGGTTTGGATGCTCCGAAAGCTCCCAAGACGCTCTGAAGTTTCAGTAGCATTTCGTCCCACTCTGCCTCTGGATCCGAAAGCGCAGTAATTGCGCCCCCAGCTCCAATGACCCAATTCTCCATGTCCAAATCCTGTTCCGCCTCGCTTTCTGGTTCATGCTTGAAGCAACTCCGGATAGCGACAGACCAATCACCCCCACCTCCAACACACCAATAACCAAAGACGCCAGAATACAGACTCCTATCTTCGTCTTCTAGATTTTGAAGGATCTCGACGCTACGTTTCTTGGGAGCTCCAGTCATACTGCCTGTAGATTTTTTTGCGCATCAATAAACTGCAAGCTTGAACGAGTTGAGACGGTACTTGCCTGGGGGAAGACTACGTTTCAATACTTCCCACCCAAGATCACTCCTGCTCGAGCCAGTCGGAAGGCGTCCCTCAACCACACTAACCATCTGCCATACAGTCTCATATTCCTCTATCCCGCAAAATTTCTTTACATCTACATCCAATCCAACCACACCATGCAAGTCATGCCGAATTAAATCGACAATCATAAGATTCTCTGCCACTTCCTTTCGACTTCCTCGTAAAGCCTCTTCAGCATGAGCACGAGTAATGCCAGGTGCTTTGCGGATGGTGCCTTTGATAGGGCGAAGCTGACACAAAGCGTTTGGTGGGCGGGAGTAGGAGAGGAACCGTTCAGGTGAAGATGAAAGGAATGTCGTTGGCTGGAGTCGGATGTAGGCGGAGTACGGAGCAGGATTGCTACGCCGAAGGAGTTTATACCTCTCCCAGCTAGACAAACAACGCGATACAGAAAGATGAGTGTGCGCGGTAAGGCAGAGCTCATACGAGTCTCCAGAACGGAGGAAATCCTGTGCATCCTCGATTTTCGATATGTAGTGCGAGCGATTTGGCAGTTTAACCTGCGCGGAAGCACAATGCACATTCGAAGAGCAAATCGCCGTGGTAGAGGTAGAGAGTGCCTGCAATCTGTGAGAGGACTCTTTGATCCACGCAACGTCATCCGGTAGCAAAGACTGGATATAGACCTTGTTCGTCGAACTGTCGAGTACCAGGCATCTCTGGACGTAAACGAGATTCAAATCATGGTGTGGATTACTGTCGCCTCTATTGTGACGCAAAGGAACATCGAGACTGTGTACACCGAGTTCGTAGCTTAGGCTTCCAATGAGACCTCCCCAAAAGGGCACATCAGGACAACCGTCTTTGGCTTCCACCCGCTGCATGAAACGAGATATCCACGACCATATGTCGGTGCCAGCCAATGGTTCACGGGTGACGGTCTTTCCGCGTTTCAAGGTAACGGCTGTGTCGCCAACCGAATAGAGGATTTGAAGAGAAGTGGGAAGAAGTGAGGCAACGATGGAAAATCGTCCAGGATTTGCGGCCGAGTCGAGTAAAATGAAAGGTGATCTGTGATCATCCACACCCAGCATTTCGCAGATCTCAACAACGCTTATCCCGGGAATTTCAACAACCGAAGTGAGAACGGAGGGAGCGATGGTCGTTTGAGAAGGTGGTAGTTTGGGAGACTCCAAGTGAGGCCATGGTTGACCGATGGAAGAAAGATCGAGAGCACGCGGACGTCTATTTCGTTCCCTCGACCATTCATTTGCCAGTGTCCAAAAGTTTTGCAAAATATGTAGCCCTCCTTCATCCGTTAACACAGACTCTGGATGGTACTGTACACCCCAGAACGGACGTGTTCTGTGCTTTGCAGCCATGAGTATCTTGTCATTCTCCACTCCATCATCTGACCAGGCTAGCGGCTCTATCTCTTTTGAATGTGGGACAGCATACAGAGAATGATAGCGTACAGCTGTCACCTTGTCGAGATTTTGGAAGATATCTCTTCCACTATGCAAAATCTCCGAGACCTGGCCATGTTTTACGACTCGGAGTCGTCTGAGCTCTCCGCCGTGTTCGATTACGAGGCTTTGGAATCCAAGACATACTGCGAATATTGGTAGGAGGTCCTGTTCAGCTAATCTCCATATATCCTTCACGATTCCAATATCTTCTGCGAGAGCTGGCGAACCAGGACCAGGACCGATAATGATTGCAGAGAAAGCTTTCAATAAAGGAAGCAGTTCATTGATAGTGAGTCTGTCGTTTTGGATAATGTGGATAGAGCAATCAGGAATTGCGATGCGACAAAGTGCAGCTAGGCTGATGTTTGGTCATTATCGAGATGCAACAGATCTTGAATGGACTTACTTGAAAGCAAAAGAATCGTACGAATCAATGAGTAGAAGGCGGGGACGTTGGATGGTCATATTATTAGATAAAGGATCGACACATGAGAGCGATGAAGAGAAAAAGAAAATTGTGACTCAATCACTGATGGGCGCCTCATGAATGCGTCCACCCACGAACAATCTCAGCCTGCATTCAAAAAAGTAAGTATCCTATGCATATACCTTGCAATTACTCTAATGTAATTTGTTTTAGCTGAAGACGGTATGCGTACCTCTAATGGGCGCTACAGCTTTGACCGCGTCGTCTGTACCAACTGTATTCAAACTCTTGAATGAGCTTCTTGAAACTCTTCAAAGCGTGCGGTCCTCTGGATATTCTCTGAATGAAGCGACCATTAGATACGTCTTCTTCCCGATATACACATTGCTCAATCGCAATGAATCCGCTACTATTCCAGATCAAGTCCTGGAGAGGATATTCATGGTTCTGGATATTCTGTGTCAAGACTGGTGGTGGTGCTTGGAACTAAAGGACTGGGAGCAGTTGTTTATGCTCTGTGGGTCAGTTATTGGAGGAGGCTTACAGGCTAAAGGAAAAGGAAAGGAACGCGCCGACGAGACGAAAGAGGCTGCAGCTCAGTGTCTGCTCACTCTGCTGCGATCGAGAGAGAATGACGATGGACCACTTACACCCAACGAAGTGCGGTCTAGGATGCGAATATTCATAGAACACGCGCAAACACCAGCCTTCATTCCCATTCTCGGTCAAACTCTCAACTCTGTACTCTTGGCGACCGAATGCCATAGTTTGCTGCTGCAAAAGACGACACTCGACCTTTTGTATACCATTCTTTCGATATATTTTCCAGAGGACCTCATCGTATCGGTCCTTCCAGGGGTTGTCAGCACAATGTGCAAATTGTCTTTGGGTGCTCCTGGAAGTAAAGGATGGGCCAAGGGCGTCGTCGTGGCTAAATCTCTTCGCGTAATGCAGGAGGTTATATCGAGGTCCATCGGGGACGAGCCTTGTATCAAAGCAGGGGCCTTGGTGTCTGTAGAAAAGATAGAGGAACTGACCGAGCTCCTTGGTGAGCAACAGCCAAAGCCTTCTCCGAAACAACACAAATATGGCACTTCTCGAACCTCGTCTTGGGTGAGCGGGACCTCCTCACAAATCCTCATCGCCATGAAAACACTTTCCCCACTTGTCAAACACCCTACTCCCTCGGCTTTGACTGCATTGGCGGAATTCTCAGCACACGTATTGCTCACCACACCGACGACATTATCACAGACTCAACCGCTCCTTTTATCCTATCTCCTGGCATTATCCAACGCAGAGCTCCCCAGCGTATCAAACAAAGCTATCCAATTACTGCTGGATCTTCTTGCAGTATCTTCCAAAGCACACCATTCTCTTACACACACACTCATGCGAATAACAAGAGATAACTTGGTCGCTTTGCCTGTTCTTTTGCCTTCACAGGCAGACACAAAGGTGGAACATGTAGCTGGTATCGTTGAGGCGATTTGTCGTCTGGCCCTGCTTGGGAAGGGGACGGGAAAGAATAATCTCAATTCCGTCGCTTCCGAGATTGGGAAACTCCTTGGTCCTACAGGTGGTGTAGAGAAATGGGGATGGAGTCTGTTATCTGTGTTGGAGCTTGTCGACCCACCTGTAACCGTCACTCGGACATCGGCGTCTCAGATGATGCTCGAAAATAATCCTGAAGCCTCCCAGTGGCTTCCTTTCCCTCAGCCTACGCTTAGGAATGTTTCCTCTACAAGCACCTACGATTCCCTAGTCCGAATGTTTCACGCACTGGGAAAAGCTGCTGGTGATACAGGTCTTTCAGCTGTGGAATGGTTCGTGAGCGTAGGACAGAGTGGCAAGGACCCCAAAGCAGTTACAGGCATGTGGTGTGCCTGTCGGCTCCTTGAGGGCATATCGAACGTGTCCTTATTCCAAGATCCTTCGACCTCGGTGAAGCCAATCAGCGGGAAAAGGCTAGAGAAGCTTGCCCGAGGCTTAGCTAAGAGTACGGCGCAACTCTGGGACAGTATTGGCCAAGAGGCGACCGAGATACCCCCGCAGAATGTATCGGACGATCACGATGGAATGCCGAATCCCATTCAGCATGTCAAGGGCTTGGTTCAACTTCACGACACACTTCAGATCACTCGAGGAACACCGATTGGGATACAAATTACGACGCAGCCTATGCTTCACAGTGCTATTTCACTCCAACTCCTTTCAGTCACAGCAGGGATCCTCGAGGCTCGTTTCTCTCCCCTCTTCATCTATACATTATACCCTATTCTCCATAGCCTCGTCTCACCATATTCGTTCCTTTCGGAAACAGCT